GTCGCGATGACGCGCACCAACCGGCCGGGCCGCCCGGCCGGGGCCAGGTGCTCTTACTCTTCGTCAGGTGCTACCCCACCCCCCGAGCCTCACCCAAGACACAGCTCGCCTCGTTGCTCCCAGTGCCTGACACTGGCCAGGCCACTGTCCCTCGGATCACGGTGCGTGGGAGCCTCAGGGGCGGCTCACTGGGGTGGGGCTGGCGGGGACGCGGTGAGTAAGACGGAGGGAGGAGGAGCGGAAGACAGCCTCCTCGGGGCCACGGTGGCAGAGACCCGACGCTCAGGTTGTCCCCGCGGTGGCCCGGGTCCTCCTCGAAGCACCCACATCGGCCCGTTCGGTCCCCACAAAAACTCGCGTGAGGCTGGCTCCGCTGGTGTGGGCCCAGGACGCAGACAGCAAGGCTGAGCGACACGCCCCGGCTCAGGGACTTAGTGCGCGGCGGCCCCGGGGTTTGAACTCGGCATCCTGGCCCCCGGGTCTTGGCTCGTAATCACTGCGTGACCGTGTCTTTAAGCCGATTCCCTGGTCTGGGTGAGAGAGCAGAGAGCAGCCGGCCACGCGTGTGTCTGAGAGGGAAGAACACCGCCATGAAGAGGAAGAAGCACCCGTCAGCTTGCTCAGGTGTTTTGCCATCCCATGTGGCCAGGAGAAAGGAAACATTCTCACTCACACACACACACACACACGCACACACACGACCTGTTTAGCAGCATCCACTCTTACTGAGTGTACCTTTTGCTGCTTCCTAAAGTGGACCCACAGGAGGGGAGGAAGGGGTGTTCTCCCAGCCGAGCCCCTCTGTCCGCAGAGGTGCACCCTGAGAGTCCCCACGCACGACGCCGCCCCAGCCCGCTGAGCCACCCGGCCAGGCCTGCATGTTTGTAGGCTGGACTCTCACCTGCAACTGGAAACTCTGTGAATAGCTTCAGATAAGAAAAAAGTTAGCATTTCAAGTTCAACGATCTGTCATGAAAATTGAAGATCGGTGTTTTCAAAGAGTTTAAAAATACAGTATAGGCCCTGGCTGGTGTAGCTCAGTGGATTGAGCACGGCCTGGGAACCAAAGGGTTGTTGGTTCGATTCCCAATCAGGGCACATGCCTGGATTATGGGCCAGGTCCCCAGTAGGCAGCACACGAGAGGCAACCGCACACTGATGTTTCTCTCCCTGTCTTTCTCCTTCCCTTCCCCTCTGTCTAAAAATAAATAAATAAAATATTTTTAAAAAATAAATAAAAATACAGTATAGCCTTTTCTATAAGTAGGCTTTACAGTTTTAAATGTCCATAAATATTAAACTTCGGGTAGAGGCACCTTAGAAACAAGCTGCACTGTTTCTAATAAAGACATTCTAAATAATGTTTATAAGGAAATAATAGAACAACGGGCTTTGTCTTTAGCGATGCATTTGGACACTCCTTAGGAGTTGGGTGTGACAAGCTCGGAAACCACCTCAGGACCTCGGAATGCAGACAGGGTCAACCCCCTGCTGCCCTGGAGGTGCCCATATGTCTTTACCAAAGTCATGATCAAAGAAAAGTATCCGAGGAAACGGGTTAACAAGGGAAGACTTGGATTTATATTTTGTGGGGGGGCCTGGAAAAGCAGGGGGAGTTGTTCATGAGTACGGTGCACGGAGGGAGGGGAGACCAGGTGTGGTGAAACCTCTCCCAGGCCACGGTGGCAGTGACGCCACTCTGCAGAAGCAGTCGATGAAGACGCCCGAGATAAGAGGTGCGAAATCTGACAATCCGAGCGGCAGCAGGTGCTAAAGATCTAGAAGCGATGTCGTGGCATGACAGCACGACGGGCACCGTGCCTGGGGGGACTGGCTCACAGAGTGCGGGCGCTGCTGGAGGACGCCAGGATGATCTGGAGAAGCTGTAAGACAAATTGCCAAAAGTGACCTCTGAAAAGCAACTTTTACTGAAAGAATTAGATGTGAGATAACTCTCACACCGTTTCAGACCATAAAACGTTAGGACATTAAAAATGCATGAGGACACGGCCACAGGCCACTCAGTGACAGCAGCCCTGGGCCCCGAGTGGCATTCCCGGGTCTCAGTTCTTCTCCGGGCAGCTCCTCTCCGCACGGGTTTAGACACCCGAGGTGAAGGGGGTGACATGCAATCAAGAGAGAGCGGGGTGCTGACTGGTGAAACCCAGAATCCAACTTGGGAACCACCCCGATCCAGGCAGCGCCTTGGGGGTGCGAGGGGTGTCAGCACAAGACGCAGTCCCCGCTCCGACTTTGATGCGACCTTGGGGGAGATGAATCACTCCTTCGATCTGAAGGGAGGGCCCCTGATCAGGAGACAAGCTGGAGGAGGAAATGAGCCCCCTCCAACACGAGGAGCCCAGCCCCCAGCATCTGGGCTGGCACCGGTGCGGCAATGATGGTCTGCACTCAGTGAGTGCAACAGTGACAGACGACGTGTCTGTGACACGAGGAGGCGGGTGAACGGTTTGGAAGGAGTCGTTTATATTTTCACTCTGATAAGAGCTGGAAGAAAAGTCCTGGCCAGGTGGCTCGGCTGGTTGGAGTGTCATCCCAACGTGTCCAGGTCGAGGTTTGGGTCTCCCTGGGGTCGGGGCGCGCACACACACACACACACACACACACGAAGCAAACAACAAGTGCATGGGTAGTAAGTGCAGCCACAAATCCGTGTCTCTCCCTGCTTCTCTAAATCAAACAAAAGAACAAAATATTTATCTTTTTGTAATTTAAAAAGTCTGAGTTTTTCTTCTTCCTGAGGACCTAAAGCTTCAAATATGTCCCTAAAATCTATGTAACTAAAGCAGGGGTCAGCGGACCTTTGGGGTAAAGGGTCAGAAAATGAATAATTTCAGGCTCCTCTGCTCTGAGTACACAACTCGACACTGTAGTGCCAGGGCAGCCGGAGCCGTATGCAAACGAGTGGGCGTGGCTGTGCGCTGATAAAACTTTGTTTATGGAAACAGGCGCTGGCCCCATTCGGCCGGTTGAGTGCCAACCCCCGATCTAAAACACTGTGCAAAAAGTAACAAGTAATGCACTTTCCTGTAAAACATTTTTCTCCAGCAGAGCAGGCAGAAAAGCAAACCTAGGTCAAAACCACACTGGTATTTGAGGAGAAACACCTAAAACTGAGAATTAACCATGGTGGTGGTAGTAACGGGAAGAAAAAAAAGAACATATTTATTTATGATTTAATAAATGCTTACACAGTGCTTCCAGGCTCCGGTTCAAACACGTTGTAAGTATTCACTCAGTTAATTCTGAGCACAACCCCATCCATCGTGACACTACTATTCTCCCATCTCACAGATAGGGAAAGGAAGCCAGGGAGACACCAAGTCACAGAGCTGCCCAAGGTCACAGAGCTGGCAACCAGAGAAGACGAGAGGTCAGGGGAGACTGTCACAGAAATGTCACCAGGACACGGGACGAAAGCGCCCCTCCCACCGCTCCCTGGCCGGACAGCCCTCTGTGAGCGCCAGTTTCCCTCGGAAAGCCGCCACCTTAACGCTGCCCGCCCTCCCCGCCGCCCGGAGTTTCTGCCCCTCTCAACTGTGATCATGGGGTTTTTTCCTGTTTTCAAAAATTGTTTAGTGATTTTTTAAGGGAGAGAGAGAGAAAGAGAAACATCGATTGGCTGTTGCACTTGCTTACGGGTTCTTGGCTGACTCGTGCATGTGCCCTGACTGGGGCCTTGCTACCTGCTACCTTACCACCGGAGTGATAGATACAGAGAGGCCCGATTAGACCAGCAGGGGGAGAACCAGGGAGGGGCCGAGGGAGGAGTTGGCTGGGACGACCAACCGTACACAGTCTAGGACGGGATTGGCTGAGAAGTCGCTTGTCCCGAGTGCCTGGAAACACGGAGGGCTGGCTCTCTGGCCTCAGGCTCTTCCTCCTCGGGGGGTGCCTGGGTGACGGTGCTGCGGCGGGGGTGGGGGGTGGGGGGGTGTCCCAGCGGGAGGTGCTTTGGGTGGGAAGGAACTCCGGGCACAGCCTGGGATCCGGCCAGCCTGGCGGAGGCTGGCAGCGTTATTCTCTGGGTGTTCTAGAAGGGATGGGCTCTGAGGCAGAAGCCTGCCGTTCTTCCCCAACTGTGTAGCTTTTGTATCTTATGTTGTATCTTTAGTTTGTAAATTAACCCTACAGAAATGAGACAACTAAAAACTAACCAGGGGAACGATAGGAGAACCCGGGTGTCAGAGTTCAGCCTTAATTGATAGGGTTAAGTGATTAAAGCTGTAACTGAAGAGTTAAGTGTGTAGCCTTAATTGGTAGGGCTAAGTGACTACTGCATGTGGAAAGCCGTTATTCCAAAATTGTGACGCTTTTGAATACAGACTCCTTTCCCGCATCACCACCCCTCTGCTTCTGGAGCTCTGCCCAGGGGGCAGCAGTGGGCAGCGGGACCCCCCCACCCCCGCCACTTGCTGTTCTGTTATGTGGGGCGGCGCTGTAACCAACTAGGCTGCCCAGCCACATTTTCTTTTGCATTTCATCTTAATTATGCATTTCAGAGTGTTTTGTTACTTCCATTCACTCTGACAAAAGGTTGGTTATACTCAATGCTCAGTTATCAAACAAAGATAAATATTCATAAAATACCAGTTATGGAAGTACTCGCATGCAAAGATGCACACCGATAGATTTTTTTCAATACGGAAATCAGCAATCAACATAGGAAATGGAGTTTCTGTGCTAGGACTGAAAGTCTTGAGGGACCAGTGCGGCCCCATCAGCCCTCTGGAACTCAGACCAACGTAAAACCTGCTTCTTCACTCCCCTGGGCTCTGCAACGATCTTTCACATTTATGAATTAATCTGATTCTGACAACAGCTGTTTTGCAGACTAGAAATCTAAGATTCAGAAAAGCAAATTAACCTACCAGAGGTCGCATCACAAACCGGTACCCTGGACCCTTTCCGAGGCCAAGGATAGGATGAGGCATATGTTAGTTTATTATTTCACTTGTACAAGTATTTCCTTCCTTTTATTTCCGGGGACGGTGCAGACACAGCCCCCCATGACCACAGACTCTGTGTTCGGGGTCCCAAAGTTGGGGGACCTGCCAGGGTCGGCCTGTCCACAGTGCAGGGCCTGACCCTCGCCCTGGGGAAAACCACCTTCGTGGTCCCAGCATCGCCCCTGCCAGGCAAGCAGACGAGTGTGTTCCAAAGGCTTAATGGAGCCTCATTTTGTTTACGTTACTTGGAATGGATCTGTCAATGCACTTAAGGCTTTTGGTAAGCAAAGTACCTCTCCTTCATCACAAAGACCGCACATTGCAACCATTCTTTAATGCAATCAATATTTATTTCCTTCCACATCGCTTGTCACATTTGTTGTGGTGCTGTCTTAGTCCGGGTCCCAGCCCTCCCACCTTGCAGGACAGAGAGGAGCCTGATTCTGGAAGACGCCACTAGGAGCTACACAGCCAGAACAGTCTGTATTGAGTCAGTTAGGATACTTGCCATCACCAAGAACAGAAACCGCGGCTCACACTGCCTTCAGCAATAAGGAAATGTACTGGCTGTCCTGACCCCAAGAGGCAGGGCCGGCTTCAGGGATGGTTTCATCCAGCAGCTCCAGCTCAGTTTCTTGGGGATTCTCTTGGTTCTGCTCCCAGGCCCGTGGCAGCCTCATCCTCAGACTGATACCAAGATCGTCCCATGGAGAAGATGCTGCTGGCTTGCTTTCTGCAGCTCTCCGAAACGTGAGGAACTTGCCCCCAGAACCTCCCAGAACTCATCATCGTGCACCTCATGAGACCAAAATGGGCCAGGTGCCTGTTTCTCAACCAGCCTCCGAAGTCAGAGCGATGCCCTGGGCTGCGTGGCGCAGGCCTGAGTTTCTGAACACATCCCTGGCCAAAGGGTGGCGGGGAGGGGGGGGGGAAGCACTATTAAACTTGGCCTGGACCAAGGACAGGCTGCTTTCAGAGGTGGGGCTCTTCTTCTGAATCGCAGAGCCGTTTGACAAAAGGGGGTGCAATGGGTCGGGAAAAGCGTTCGTCATCGGTTTTGGCTGAAAAACCTCTGAATCCCCTTCTTTTATGTTTGGGATAAAAATTTGGGTTTATGTCCCCCGACATAAATACTGGCAGAAGGCAGGCTCTGCCTCCTGTTACTCACACTGGTAGGCAGCCTGCAGCTCCCCGGCCAGGGCCAGGCAAGCGACCTCGACTCCGCCAAACGAACGCCCCGCCCCGGAACCCTGAGGGAGTTTTAAAAACCTGGTAAATATAGAAGGAAAAACTTTTCAGACAGTGGACAAAAGGCAAATTACTGACAGAGGGACAAATACAGAATTATCAAGACTTCTCATGAGAAACCACGCAAGCCAGAAAAGAACAGAAAAGCACGTTTGAAGTGCTGGGCAAAAACCCTGTAAATTTAGCATTCTATACCCACTGAAAATATCTGTGAAAAATAGGGGCGAATACAGACTCTTCCACATAAACAAAAACAGAGAGCTGTCACTGACGGCAAACGCGCTCTATAAGAACACTAAAAATATGTCCTCGGGGCGCAGGAAATTGACACCAGATGGAAAGTTGGATCTATTAAAAATAAAAGCAAAAAAACAAACAAAAAAAAAGAACGAAGGGCACTGGAAATGTTAAGTATGTGGGGAAATATAAAAAGCATTATCTTGGTTTTTAAATGCCTTTAAAAGAACAATGATGGTCTGAAGCACAAACAAAGCCAAGGAACGGTGGGCTGATAAAACGCACGCAGAAGGGAAACACAGGAGGACAGCAGGCACAGGACTGGCGAGGGCACAGACAGGGTGCCGGCGGGAGGGCGGAGGTCCAGACCACGCAGAGACGCGTCGTAAGAACGTCAGACAGAACAGACGTCGGGACGGGGCACAGTGACCCCAGGTGAGGGAGGGAGCTTTCCCAATGATAAACGGGATCGATTCATCAAAGAGAAATGATCATCGTAATCTGTTATTCACCCTATAATGATGATTTAAAACACAGGAAGCAATGACGGGCGGAACTGGAAGGAGAAGCGACGAGTCCACAGTCACAGCAGAAGACGGGAGGTCTCTTCTCCGGGTTACTGACAAACGAAGTGGACAGGGAGAGACAGGGGTGGCTAGGTGCTGCCCACCCACCGGGCCCGACTGGCACCCACAGAACCTCCCACCGCACGACAGCAAGACAAGTAACGTGACTCTCGAGTGTGTCTGGGACGGTCACCCAGACAGGCGACAGACAGGCAGAGTTGTAAGACGAGTCTCAATAAATTTTAAATAATCGAAATCATACCGAGTACAATCTCTGACTACAGTGAAGTTACATCATGAAGCAACAGAAAGATACTTGAGACATTTCTAAGTATTTGAAATGTAACAATACATTTCTATATAACTCATGGACAAAAGAAGAAATCGCAAGGGAAATTATGAAATATATTTCCTAAATAGAAATGGAAACACGACACATCAATATTTTAAGAGGGAAGTTTTAAGGTTTTTTTAAAGATTTTATTTATTTATTTTTAGAGAGGGAAGGGAGGGAGGGAGAGAGAGAGAGAGAGATCAATGTGCGGTTGCTGGGGGCCGTGGCCTGCAACCCAGGCATGTGCCCTGACTGGGAATCGAACCTGTGATGCTTTGGTTCGCAGCCCGAGCTCAATCCACTGAGCTACACCAGCCAGGGCAGAAGTTTTAAGTTTTAAATGCTTACGTTACAAAAGAAAAAAAATCTCAAATCGATGATTTTAGCTTCTACTTTAAAAAAACTAGAAAATGAAGAGCCAATTGAACGCAAAGCAAGCAGAAGAAAGGAAATAATAAAGGCATCAGAAAGGGCACAAACAAAAGAAGGAGTCGGTGAACGCCAAGGCTGTGCCTCCGGAAAGATCCACAAAACAGACGAACCTCTGACGACACTGTAGCACGAGAAAGCTGTGGAGACAACATATAAACTACCAGCACCAGGAGTAAAGGAGGAGGCATGACCATGGCCTTGAAAAGAACAAGAAGGGACTTGTGTGGAAAACAGTCAAAAAGTCGTTAACCTTTCAATAGACAAACTTCTCAGAAACGAAGGTTATCAAGGGTTATCCAGAGACTCCGCGGGAAGGCGTGGTGGTGACGAAAGCAGGAGGCTGCAGTGACAGGAGTCGGGGCGGGAGCCTCTGACGGTGGCTGTGCCCTGCGGCGGCTGCGAAGGCTGGGAAGTGTGTTCACCCCGGGAGACTCCAGGAGGGGGCAGCCGGCTGACGCCTTGCTTCTAGACTCCTCCCACCAGAACTACAAGAGGCTAAGTTTCTGTTGTTTAAAAAAAAAAAAAAAAAACTGACTCAAGAAATAAAATACCAGAAGAACCCTATATAAAATTTTAAAATCGATTTATTAAAACCCTTCTATAGCAAAAACTTTAGGCCTAGATGGATTCACTGGTGAATTCTAACAAAATCTTAAGGAAGAAATACTATCAATTCTACACAAATGCCTTCAGAAAATGGAGAAGGAAGGAAATATTTCTTAACCCATTTGATGAGGACAGACTTCTCCGACAGCAGAACCATCACAAGAAAAGGAAACGACAGATCAGTGTCGCTCCTAGAGGAGGAACCGCTCTTGACAAAACCCTGAAACTGAATCCGGCGATGCACCCGCAGGGCACCCCCAGACCAGTGGGGTTTATTCAGGAATGCCAGCGGGCTGGTCAAACGTTCAGAAACCGACCAATGTGATTCCCCGTATTAACAGAATAAAACAGAAGAACCAAATAGCTCAATAGACACGGAAATAACATCTGACAAAATTCAACACCCATCCACGATTTATTTTGTTTAAAGACTTTATTTTTTTTTTTTAGAAAGAGGAAGGGAGGGAGAAAGAGAGGGAGAGAAACATCAATGTGTGGTTGCCTCTTGAGTGCCTCCTACTGGGGACCTGGCCCGCAACCCAGGCCTGTGCCCCCACTGGGAATTGAACTGGTGACCCTTTGGTTCACAGTCTGGTGCTCAGCCCAATGAGCCACACCAGCTAGGGCCCATCCACGATTTAAAAGGAAAAAAAAAAAAACAAACAAAAAAACCCTCTCAAGACACCAGTGGCAGGGGACTTCCTGACTGGTCCGAGACAACCTGTGACCAGGCCTCTGTGGACAGCCTGGGGCTCCCAGCCTGGGCAGTGGTGAAGACCGTCTGGCCCGGAGACAACCCACACGACCCCGGTGTCCACTGTCACCACTGTCGGTCAACACTGCACGGGAGAGCTCGTCAGTGCAAATAAGAAAAGTAAATAGCAGGCTAGAAAAAAAGTAAAACTCTCTTCAAATAAGACACGATCACGTGCTGAGGGCCACTATGCGTCTGAACAAGTGCCCCACGCCAGGGCGGAGGCTGGACTGGAGGAGCTCGGGGAGGGGGCTCTCCGCGCCCGCGCACCCTGGCGTCCTAACTGCCCGCCCGCGCCGGCCCTGGGCGGGTGCCCGCCTTTATTCCGTGAGCGAACGAATGGACGCTCGATTGGGTGCTTCCGTCTCGGAAGGTGACAGGTCACTGCAGTCGAGACCTGAGTTTCATACCTCCGATTCTGAAAAAAGAATCTTGGATCCCTGTGCTCAGGTAAGACGAGAAACAGCTGGGAGAAACCCTTTTCCTTTACTGGCGTCTTGCAGTGATTCATGTGTATGCCAGCTTGCCCGGCCTCAGAACTCCGCGACCACACGTCCCTTCCGTGGTGGGGTCGCCGGGGGAGGTGGGCTTGAACTGAGGCACCCAGGGAGGCAGACCGCCCTCTGCGGGGCGGGTGGGCTTCGTCTGATCCGGAGGGCCCCCGTGCAACAGGAGGTGGGGGGTGGGGGTTAGTTGGCTCCTGTCCTCCTGCCTCAGGGGTTGAACTGCGACTTCTCCCCCCGCCTCCCCCTGCCCTCAGGCTGCGGCTTCCATCCTGGGCTTCCCTGGTCCGCTGGCCTTCCGCGGGGCACTGGCCACCAGCCCTCTCGGTTCTCCAACGGCAGAGGGCAGATCTTACCTGTATGCAAGTCTCCACATGTGTAACTGTATGTATATACATGCACATATAAATGGGATGTATGAAAGGAGAATATGTATATGTATAGTTCCATCTCATGGTTCTGTGTCTCTGCAGAGCCCGGACCAGCACCCCTCCTGTGCTCGCTCACACGCGCTGTCGCTGCAGCCAGGGCTACCTGTCCAACGCCCTTCAGGTCTGCTGCACACTTATCTGTGTGAGCCCTTTCTTTTTCTTTCTTCCTCCCCCTTTCTCTCTCTCTTTCTTTCTTTTCTTTCTCCCCTTTCTCTCTCTCTTTTGGAGCTCACTCTTTCTGATTACAAAACTAATACATGCTTTCTTTGTGGGGGCGGGGGGCCTAGAAAGTACTGAAAAATTAAAAAGAGAACGAAAACTCCCTAAAGTCCCATCGCCTCAGTCAGCACTGCCCTCCATCCAGTTCCTGGCGGCCTCCTCATCCACACCACTGTCTGGGCCCCAGCAGCACAGAGGGCAGGGAGCCGGAGGCCGGCCCGAGAAGGCACCGGGCGGGCGGGACCGAGGGGGCCCCCACGTGGAATTGCCAGTGGGCGCTGGGGCATGCAGCCGCACGCCGGGAGAGACTCCGGGTGCAGGAGGGGCAGGCAGAGGGGCACAGGGGTCAGCTGAGTGCTCGGGCCGGGCAGAGGCTGCCCGGGGAGAAAGGAGGGTCCTGTGCAACGTCACAGGGTGTCCCCGCCCCGGGAAGCACGCCGGATGAAGCGTGAGAAAGGACCGGTCCCCTCGGGTTCACACCTATTGATATTTCCTGGGCCCAGCAGAGGTGAGACGGTGAGATGGCGAGATGTCTCCTTTCCGTATTCACTCTCCACACCTGTGGACTGGCCAGCGTGCCTTCCAAGAGAGTGGGGTCAGTCACATGTGAAAGGCATGATTTTTTAAAATTTTTTATTCATTGATTTTGGGGAAAGAAGAGGGAAAAGAGAAAGGAGGGGAGAGGCGAGCATCGATCTGTTGTTGTACTTGTTCACGCATCATTGGTTGACTCTTGCACGTGCTCTGACGGGGGACCGAACCTGCAGCCTTGGTGCACCAGGACGACACTCTAACCAACGGAGCTAGCTGGCCAGGGCGCTACCAAGAATATTACTTGTTCAATGTCATCTTCTCTTCTTTCCTCTGAGAACGGGTTTCATCTACTCTTTTCAAAAACAAGAGTTTGTTTGGAATGGCTCTTCAAAACTGTCTGTCTTCACTCCCACATTATGAACACACAGTCTGTTTAGACCCTTGTCCTCTGAGAGAAGGCAAGTTTGCGACAGGATGACATGTCTTGCTGGTTTTTATCAGCCGCTTGCACTTACGACCGCCTGGCCGTCTTTTTAACAGGCGGCACTCCTCTGCTTCTGGGGCGGCTCACCCTCAAAGCACAGCCCTGCCGAGTGTTGTCATTTGCCCCAAACCTCCTATCGGAGGCTGTGACTTGTCTGCCTGGAGGGAGAGAGACCAAAGCCCCGCAGTAGCTGTGCAGCTGCGCAGCAGGTGTCCTGGGCATCGAGAGGTGATGCTGTGGGGTAGCTCGGCTGGTTAGAGCACCTGCCCAATACACTGAGGCTGCGGGTTCGATCCCCAGTCAGGGCACATACAAGAGGCAGCCAAGTGGAACAATAAATCAGGGTTTCTCTCTCTTCCTCTCCTTCCCGTTCCCTCTCCCTTCCTTCCTCTCTCTCAAATCAATTTAAAAACAAACAAAAAAGAGGTGATGCTGCCATCTTCTGAACAGAAAAATGGTAGAAAACCCTGACAAGGCACCAAAAGTCTCGCTGAAAACATGCATTCCCCGAACCACTTGCTTAAAAGAACTTCTAAGCACGATGGACATAAAAACCAACCCTACCCAGAAAAGAACCTCCCGAATTATCCACTTCAAACACAAGGGTCTTACAAGGTAAATCTTGTTCCTTGTCCACTCAACTCTCAGTAGGACGGCACATGGAACATGTCCCCCTTCACGTGACCGCACGGCCACACAGAGCCCGACAGCGGTAGTGTGTCGAGTCCCCCACGTAGACTGTCCCAAGCCGCCATCACCACCTTCCACCCAGCCTCTCTTTCCCAGCCCGGTGTCAAGAGTGCCGCCGTTCTTAGCCAAATCCATTTCCCCACTCAGGCAGGGAGACGACGGTGTATGTGAATTGGGGGAGGAGAACCCCGTTTGGCTCTGTGCACCCAGTTTGAAGTCTCCCTGCTGTCCACAGAAAGAGGTGGTGGAAGGTGGGGGGCGAGTCAGGTCCCACCAACACAAGGTCAGCAGTGCCGGGGCCGGGTCCAGGGAGCGTGTAGCAGGAGCCGGGTCTGGCCGGGAGGGGAGTGGGCAGCTTTCAGCACGGCGGCTGGCACACAGCAGGTGCTGGGCACGTGGCTGACGACTAAAAGGAGCCGATGTCTGAGTCTCAGCTGGGTGCTCGACGGGCCTGCCCGGCTGCAGGAGCAGCAAGGGACTGTCCACGAGAGCAAAGCCTGGCCCGTGCCAGGCCCCAGCCCTGCCCAGGGAATGGCAAGACTTGGGTTGTGCCCCGGGAAGAGGTTGGAAACACGGTGCGAGATCTCAGACTAATGGTAGACGGTGAATGGTGCAGAAAGGCAAGGGGTCGACCCAGGAAAACCCGCACTTCCTAATGCGATGTTAGTGCACCTGCAGATGAGAAGCAAGATGGGTTTTCAAAACACAATGGCAGTTTGGCTGAGAGATTTAAAAAAGGCAGCAATATGAAGTGGATGCTGGGTAGGTCTGGAAAGAATATTTGGGATCTACTTTGTTCCTTTGATAATTAAGAGTGCGTCTGTCTTATCCTGAAAGAAGCAAGCACCCCGCTCACCCCACAGCTTCTGCGCTGACACACTGCCTGCCCGGCCAGGTTTCTGCAACGTGCCTCCTGCCGCCTTCCCGAGTGTGCTCGGCTTCTGCCCTTGCACTCCAGCCAGCCGTCCTGCTGAGGCCCTGGATGCTGCCCGCACCTGTGGGGCCTTACCTTGCCAAGGGTCTACCTTCAGCATGGGCGGCGGGGGGGCTGCATCTGCCTCTCTCTGCCTCTCACCCCTCAACACACCCACGTTCCCTGTCCGTTTCAGCCCCGCCCATGCCAGCTGTGCTAATGACTCCCAGATCTCTGCCGCCCTCAGCCATCCATCCTGATTCCACCTGTGTTTATCCAACTGCCTCCTAGACATCCTCACTTATTTGCCCCAGGGGCAGCTCGAATTCCATAGGCCCCAGAAGGAAGTCATTTAATTCACTTTAGTTAACTGAATGGGGCCTCACTTCCTCAAATGTAACACAGGGGTATTACTAATAGGCACCTCACACCGAAGCCTGTTACGGAGATTAAATAACAGAGTAGCATGTCAGATAGACCCTGGCCCATGTGAAGGATCTACAAGTATTAAACACGATCCTCTTCACTCAAACCCATTCCCTCCTCCCCATGTACCCCCTAAACTGACTTATAAACCCAACCACCCACATCATTTAAGCCAGAACCTGGACCATCTTTCTTGAAGCCTACTTCTTCCTTCATTTCACAGCCCCTCCTTCCCACTTCTTAAATATCTGACCTTGTCTCTCCTTACCTCCAGAGCCTTGGCCCCCAGCACATCCTCTGGGACTAGGGCTATTCCTTCCCTGACCCCACTCTTGCTACTACTCCACGCCTTTCTTCTGAAAGGACACATTGCATGACACCACCACCCCCTTTATAAACTTTCAGTGGCTCCCCACTACTTTGGGGACAAAATCCAAACTCCTCGGAATGGCCCAGAGGCTCTTCAGGACCTGGTTTCCTCGCTCCTTCCAGGTACACACCACTGCCCCAGCTGGTCCTCCTTGGGGGAGGCCGATGCCATGGTCCTCATCAAGCTCAAGATGGAATATCTTCTCCCCAGTGCTGCTGCTGCTGCTTCCAGATGCAGCTTAGGTGCCACTTCCTCCAGCCTCACTGGGCTTTCAGTTGGATGATACCTTTCTTCTTTGTTCCCCAGGGGCTGTGCCCTAACACTTACATGCTTCAGTTGTTATCTGATCATTCGCCTATCCTCTCCACTAACCCACCTGGGTTGTCCGAAGGCAGAAAAATGATCTTTTATTTCCACGTGCCCAGAACCCTGCCCAGCGCCTGAAAGACAGTAAATACTCAGGGGAAGTGAATCAGGGCACAGTCTTTCCACCGAAAAAGAAACGAGGTGGCTCGGGGAGGCGGTATCAGGCTTTAGCAAGTCCACTCCTCCCGTGGCACAAGGCTGTGCCACGGAGCAGGGGTTCCTCCGGGCCTGTGTGTCCTTCAGCGCACTTCAGCTCGCCAAGACTAACCCGCTCAACTGCGACACACACGGGGCGGCGCAGCACAGGCTGCGAGGGAGCCGGCACTTCGATCCGCGAGCCGGGCGAAGTCCTGCGCCCTTTGTTCCGGGCTCCGCGCCCGCAGGACCCGGCCAGGCGCAGGGCCAGCTCGGGCCGAATGGCACTCGGAAGTGCCCCGGGGGACGCTGCAGGCTGCAGGGGCCAGCCTCCCGGCGCTGGAATCCGCGACCTCCGGCGACCGCACGGGACGCAGGCTCCGGGCCGGGGGACCCTCCCAGGGCCGCGGCCGCGGCGGGCGGGAAAGCGCCCAGCCCGCCCGCGCCCCGCGCCCGCCGCCCGGCGCGCAGGGCGGGGCGGGGCCGGCGTGCACGGGGACGGGGCCGACGCGGCGGGGCGGGGCCGGCGCGGGCACCGGAAGCGCTGGGAGGCCCGAGCCGTCCCAGGGTGCCCCGCGCGGCGTGGACTCGGGCCGCTGCCGCCATCCCGCTGGCGAGAGGCTGAGAGAGGCCGCCCGCTCGCCGGCCGGGCTCGTGTGGCCAGTGCGTGAGGGCGCGGGGGCCGTGTCAGCGAGACGCAAAGCGCAGCCGCCGCCACCGAACGGACATGTTAGGGCGCAGCGCCGCCGCCTCTTGTTCCTCAGCCCCCGAACGGCACTGAGAGGGGCCCGCCGCCGCCGCCGCCCGCCCCGCCGCCCCGCTTCCTGCCCGGCCCCCGGCCCCCGGCCCCGCCGCGGCCGCCCGCTCCGCCCCCGCCCCCGCCCGGCCGGGCCGCGGCCCCGCTCCGCCCTGCGCGGTTCTATGTGACCGGCGGGCCCGGAGCCGCCGCCGCAGCGCGAACATGGACGCCGTCAACGCCTTCAACCAGGAGGTGAGGGGGCGCGGGCCGGCGCCGGCTCTCCCGCGCGGCGGGCTTGAAGCTGGGCTCGGGTGGGGACGCTTCCTGCTCCGGTTCCGGCGGCCGGGCCCGCGCGGCGGCCTGCGGCCCGGGAGGTGGCAGCGGCCGCGGGGCCGACCCCTCCCCTCCCCCACGCCCGGCGACGACCTCGGCCGCGTCCCCGGCCGCGCGGGCCCCCCGTCCGGCCGGCTCGCCCGCAGCCCCGCGGGTGGCCCCGGGAGCCGGAGCCCGCCCGGGGCCCGGACTGGAGCGCGGCGCGTGGGGGGCGGGGCGGGAGCGTCCGCCGGTCCCGGCTGCCGCTGCCGGGCCGCGGCCGCTGGACTCTGATCCCGGGCGGTTGGCGCCCGCAGCGGGTCGGTAGCGCGCCGGTCGGACCCGGGACTCGCGCACGTGGGAAGTGGGGTGGGTACACGCCAGGGGTGCTCCTTGTCACTGCCAGTCGCGCACGCCGCCCTCGGGGGCTCCGAGCCCGGCGTGACACCTGAGAAGTTGAATGAGCGACGCGAGCCGGCGGGAGGGCGGCCTCGGCGCACCGACCCCCGGCCGCTCACCCTCAAGCACGCCCCCCGCCCCGAGCCTCGCCCCGCGGAGACCCCCAGCCGGGCCCGGAGCTGCCGCGACCCTCGAGCTCCACTTTCCCTCCGGTCCTTGCGGGCGCGGCGCGGCCCGCGCGGGGGTGGGTCGGGGCCTCGGGGGCAGGGCGCCCGGCCCGGGTGATTTAAAACGCAGTCCGGGAGAGGGGACCATTGTCACGCGTCGGGCTGCACAGTCTTCCTCTCGCACACGCCAGCGACAAACCCGGCATTTAAAACGCCAGATGCGGCGGTCGTGGGTGCCTTGATGGGGCGCTCAAAACTTGCTGCGTCTCACGAGATTTTGCGGGGTCCCTCCCATCGCACTTCCGATTTGCGGGGCGCGGCGAGCACCGCTCACCGCCTGTTGGGTCGCCCGGGAAACGGCGCGTCTCCGACCGGGGGCCTGGGGGCGGCCCAGCGCCCGCGGGCCCGCCCGCCGTCCGAGGTCGCCGGCCAAGTTCGGCGGTGGCCGCTTTCAGGCTGGGGAAGTGGCTCCTGTCTGACCTTGTGTTTCTTCTCCAGTCACAGCTGACGTTCAGGGTCGGGTCGTCGGTGTGGGGCGGGCAGCGCCGCGGCTCGGCTTCCACGCTCCTTCGGCGGGGACCGCGCCGGGGCGACGGGCGGTCGTTCCTCCTCCTCCGGCGGCGGCGGCGGCATCGGGCGGCTCCGCGGGCTCGGCTCCGGGGCGGAGCCTCTGGCCGGCTGCCCCCCGCCCCTCCCTGGGGCAGGGCCTGGCAGGTGCGGTGCAGCGCGGGAGTCTCTACCCGGCGCGACCGTGGCGTAAAGGTTCCGAGGACACTGCTGTCCCGAGATGAAAACAAGGAACTGCTTTTGCTTCGGGAGGACACTTACGAGAGCCGGGACTGGGAGACAGGAAGGGCTTCGGGTGGGAGAAGCGACAAAGGGGACAGCCGTCCAGGGACCGGCGGTGCGGGCCGGGGCGGGCCGGGGCGGGGTGGGGGGCGCTGGCTGCAGGGTTTCGGGGTGGGGGGGATTGTCGGCGGCGGGCCCAGAGGGGGGTTTCGGTGTGAGGAGTATTCAGTCCTCGCTTAGGCTCCGTGCACGTTGCGGTTAAGCCGCGCTGTTCGGGGAAAGGACGGCGTGTTCGCCCTGGAAAGGTGGGGTGGGTGGTTTTTACCTCAGGAAAATCAGGGATGGCCTGGGCGCCTCGGAAAGGGGAAGTGTGTTTTAATAACCCCTTTGAGGGCACAGCAGGAGACTTCGGCCGTTGCTCGGTCCCGGTTCTTACTCCCGCCCCTAGTCCGTCGTGGCGGACTTCGCGTGGCGCTGGGTGGGGGCGTGGTGTCTGCCAGTCCTCGGAAGGGACGGTCTTCCGAGGGGACCAGTCGCTTCGGCCCCGGCTCGGCCCACGGTGCCGCTCGGGTATTTCTCACCGCTCGCTCGCCACGCGGCGTTGTTTCCTGTGACCTCGGGCTCCCACGTCCCCTCCTCGCCGGCTGCCAGGCGGAGCCCGGCCTCACCGAGGCCGCCAGGCGTGAGTAGGCCCAGGCCTCGGGTCTGCGGTGGCGCGGGGCCAGGGGGCCGCGTGGGGAGCGGCGCGGAGGGGCCTGGGCCCGCCGGCAGGGGCTGCAGGGAGGGGAGCGCGGTGCGGTTGAGGAGCCGGCCGCCGCCTGGAGCGTTTGAGCTCCGCGTTTGGGCTGCGGGCAGACGGAGGTGGTGAGTTCGAGGTGATGTGACCGGGAGGTTTGGTTCGTCGTGCCCTTGTGGAAGCCCGGGTTTGGGGACGCGGGGCGGGGCGGGGTTCGGCTAAGAGAAGCCGTCGAGTGTGGACTTGGCGAGTGTGTCGTGGGAACGCGGGCTCGGTGGTCGCCTGGCGCCCCGCTCTCGGAGCTGGGCGCGCGGGGGCGGTAGCAGCCCCGCAGGCAGCCGCCCGCCCCGCACGCCGGGGGCCTGTGGCGCTCAGACCCGGGCAGACCCTGCGGCGACAGCGGGAGAGACCCGGAGTCCCTCCCGCGTGTGCCCTGAGGAAGAACATGGCGGGGGGGGGGTATTTAATACGCACCCAGCCCTCGGGCCCTTGACGTGCACGCGCCCTGCCAGCACTCCCGCGGCCTCGTCACGCGCGGAGGAGGCGCCGGCCTGGAGAGGAGGCACCGGGCCGCGTTCTGCTGCCTAACGGTCGGGGCGGGCGCCGCCTCTCGTTGGTGCCCGGGGTGGCGCTCTGCGCCGAGTGGTGCGAGAGTGGTCGCAGGTTGGAGCTGAAGAGAACGGCGTCTGGACGTTTGAGGGTAGTGGGGTCTGGAGCCTGAGGCGAGACGGGGAGGTGGCAGGCGAAGGGGGTGGCGAAAGTCACGCGGTCGTCTTCAGACGCTCGAGTGAGCGCTCGAGGGCCAGGAGAAGGAAGGGCAGAGACTAGTGCCCTGGGCACTGACGCGGGCCTCCCGATGGCTGGGGTGGGGTGGGCTGGGGGCGCGCAGGTGGGGGAAAGTGTGGTTTCACGCAGCCAAAGGGGCGGGTCACTCGGAGCAAAGTCGTGCGGGAGGAAGGAGCGGGGGGAGCCCGGCCAGACGGGCCTCTCTCTGCTGCGGGCGGGAAGGTGAGGAGGAGGGGGCGTTACAGACGCCGGTCACGGAGCACCTTCGGGCGAGACACAGTGTGCGGGAGGCCAGAGACGGGCGGAGATGAGCCAGAGAAGTCCGCGTCGGTTCCAGCCGGTTCTCGGTTGTGCTCCGTCCGGGCTGCACGCACACTCCTCGGTGTGACGGTCCGGTGTTCGGTAGCTTTGTTGGGCGACTCGGGTTTGTGAGTGCGGTTTCTTAGCCCGCCGACTGCACGTTCAGCCTTCAGTCAGTCTTCTGGAAGTCCGAAGGAACACATCTACCCCCGCCACACACGCACAGCCCCTGCCCAGATCATCAGCGTCCGGGGCGCGGAAACAAAGCACGTGCAGCCCTCCGCGTTTCCGAGCGCACGGGTGGTGCGTGGGCGCGCTCTGCCGAGTGGGGTTCGCTCGGACGCTAACACCGGGTGCGATTCCGTCCGCTCCAATGGTCGTGTGGCTGCCGCCCTTGACTAAACGGCATTCTCCGTGATTCCCCAGTGGGTGGACATAGGGGGTGTCTCATTTTTTGCCACAGACACTGTAGCGAGTGTTCTTAAACGTCTTGGGTAAGAGTTTCGCTGGGACAGCTTTTCTCAAACTGGATTTCGACCTCTTTAAACTCAAAAGTTAGGGAGCACAGAGCTTTCGTGTTTGTGGATTGTGGGGGCTGATATTTACCATATTAGAAATTCAAGCTGAGAACTGCATACATTAAAAATAACAGTAAACCCACTAGCTACATGGTAACATAAATGACAAATGCTTTCAAAACAAAAAAAAAATTAGCGAGAAGAGTGACGTTTTCCGTTTTGCAAATCTCCTTTAAACTTTGGTGAAACAAAAGCTGGACTCTCATCTCCTTCCGTCTGGCCTCACGCACATCGGACAGCGTCTGGAAAAGGGCTGTACCCTTGGCAGAGGGCGGCGTCTTCCTCTGGTCGGGAGCGGCTTGCGCCTCCCAGACCCGGAGGGGAGCTCGGACCCCTGGGTTCTGTTCTGAAACTGCAGCCTGAGGTGGTGCCCACGATGCCGCCTTGCAGTGCGGGCGGGAAACGGCGCTTTCACTCCACTCGTTTCCCTTTCAAGTCAGCCAGAAGGGAGCTTTATGAATACTTAATGTATGGCCCGAAGTTGGCGCACTTGCCTGCGTGGGCGTCTGCCGTGAGCCGCCGTGTTGTGGGGAAGGAAGAGCTGAAGCGCTCCAGGCTGCTCTCACTGGAAGTCTTCTGTGTGGACTGTTGTGCACCTTTTACCTGCGGATTGCGCGGTGCGACTGTCTTCTGCAGTTCTCAGCACGTGGTGAGGACACTTGCGAAGTTTTCTTCCCACCCGCAGTGCTACTCTTCGGTTGCTCTGATCCGAGGTCTGTCTGCAGGGACGCAGAGGCCTGGCCCAAGGCTCGCTGTGCACAGGAGACGAGAAGAGCAGGGCGAGTGCCGGCGCGCCGCTGGAACACTCCTCGGGTCTCCCTGGGTCGTGGCACCCTGCTGCCAGCCACAAGGAGTCTGGGGGTCTTGGAATTTAGCCATTCAGCCCTGGCTGGTGCCGTTCAGTCAGTGGATCGAGCATCGGCCTGCAAACCAAAGGGTCACTGGTTCAATTTCCAATCAGGGCACGTGCCTGGGTTGCAGGCCAGGTCCCCAGTAGGGGGTGTGTGAGAGGCAACCACACATTGATGTGTGTCTCCCACTCTTTACCTGTCCCTTCCCCTCTCCTCTCTCTCTAAAAATAAATAAATAAAGTCTTACGTTAAAAAAAAAACAAACAAACAGAAAGAAGTTACCACCTTCACGTTGGGTCGAGGACAGCTGGCTCCTTACTGCTTTCTGGAGCAG